TGTATACTGCTGAAGAAGCCTTTAATTGAAATTGGCAAATCAAAGTGCAAACTCCAGACCCTTTAAACAACTCAGGAGCCTGCTCTTCCTTTCGTTATGGCTGATTACAAAATTGCTGCACATGGAAGCTGAAATAGAGAGGTTTAAATTGTCACATGTAAAGGCCTTATTTATTTACTAGGTCGCTGTGGAAGTTTGAAAATTCAGCCCTGAAATAATTGTAAAATTTTTGTGAGTTAATGTGGAATTACTAATGATTTCTTTTTATCACAAGGGAATTGACATAACTGCAAAGAGAATTAACATACTTTATTAATATTGCTAATATAACGATCATTAAATATTATCAACACACCAGCAGTGATATATGTAGTGATCCGTTACAAAGAGAGCCAATGAGAAAAAATAAAGGCCTTGTTCAATTTCTTAGATTTAAAAGGCTATAGCTATTCCCCAGTGTAGGAATTTTTGTATTATATTTGTAAGAGAAATCTGTTCTTTTCTCCAAGTCTGCTAAAGATGAAGGAAGCCACGAGAAGGTACATTGAATGCAAACAGCTACTTTCCTCACCAAGAACATTGAATGCTAGCAGAGAAAATGTTGAAAATATGATGCTGCATGTTAATAAAACAAGTTTCTCTGCTTTGCTTTTTTGTAAAACACCGTTTACCTAGAGCAGCATAGGCTTGAAGAGTTTCTTCTGAACTGTTTCTTCTTACTATTTCTTAAAATTTCTCTGTCAGTAATCAACAAAGCCTCACTACTTATTTGTAAAGAGCCATGTTTATTTTTTTAATTACATGCATTCTCTAAGAATTATGCTGATATCACTCTATTGATAGCTGCATTTATAAGCCAATTCAAAATCCAAAATATTTGCCTCAGATGTTAGCTACAAGGAGTACATATTTATAAAGATATGTTGCTGTGGCATAATTTTCTCTTTCTTATTAATCACATTTTTGAGCACCTTGTTTGCTAGACTTTAGTTTTATTTCTGTATTTTGTAATCAACAAAATATACTTCCTAAAGAAAATAGCTTGTGCCATTACTGCGTGGCTGAAAGTTCTAATGCAAGAAAGCGCAGCTGGTTGGTTCTTTCAACCAACTCCCACTGTGATATGATAAAATATATCTAAACATGTAATCATAATCTCCAGAGGTAGGCTAGGGTTGGCTTCAGACTTTTAAAAATCTCATCATGGCAACCTAGGAAAGGACTGATTTCAGTTGAGAAATTTGCATACATTTCTTAATAAACACAAGCAGTGCTTTTTTAGTAGTCCCTAAGACCAAGTTCCTATTACTCTGCACTGACATGCCAAGTGAAAATAAGCTGTTGATGTATTCAGAGAAACAAGAAATCCACAGTTGTATCCTTAAATATTAATTCACCTTAGAAATGTAGATACAGTGTACCTAAACAACAAAATATATACCACTGAGGTTTGCATCATATGGTGTAAACAGCATCATAATGGACAATAATTTAAAAATCACAGAATTATAAACATTTAGATCTAAAAAAACATCTTTCATACCACCATAATTCAATGCCTTTATTTTCAGAGCAAGAAACAGAGCTCAGGAGGATTAAGTGACTTATTTAAGATTGATCACACAGCTAGTTCAAGACAGAGTTGGGAATAAAAACTCAGGTTTTTTGACTAGTCAAACATTTCTATTGTCTAGTGCACAAGGTTGAACAGATGAGTCATGGGTGAAAAGAAGCCAGTACACTACCCAAATGAACCATGAGGACACCTATAGCCAGAGCTATTTGCACGATTTGCTCTGGGTATTTGGAGAGGAACTTGAAAACGCACTACTTTGTCAAAACTGGCTGACTTACATTCAAAATGATGAACATTTATCAAGACTTTACTATGTAAAGTGACAGAATCAGGGAATTTAGGCACTTTATATCTCAGTATCCAATAAAACCCTTTGGGATATTCCCATGGGAACCACGCCATGTCCTCGGCATATTTTAATTTGCATATATTCTTCTGTATAATCAGCTGATAGAGACTAAAAACAAAAGGAGCATTTCAATTTCTGAGGGGGTGATGGAGGAGATGGCAAAGGGATCTCAGGGAAAGAGACCAAATCTCTTCATCGGCACCTAAACCGAATGGCCTGTCCTTTTATGTTTTTTCCTCCTTTCTTTTCCCCTTTTCCTTTCCCCTACCTTCCTCCCTCCTTTCTTCCTGCAAGGCTTGTCAGAAAGAGATAGAGGTCTAGGGTACTTCAAAAAGAGACAGAGGTCTGGGATATTTCCTTTTTAATTTTTTTTCCTTTTTTCTTGAGGCTTCAGGTATATGAAAATAAAAAGATGACAAATCAGGATACATATATTAAATGTTTTCATTTAACAAACTGACAATTTTAATACACATACAAAGCAGTATAATTGTACTCTTCATAAGATAATTATCATATTTTAAAAGAATTATTTCACTGCACAATAGACACCATCATGAAACAGTGCACACATCTGAAAGTGTAGAATGGATGCCTTCTTTCTAACCTCTTTCTAAACTCTTTCTAAACTATCTGTGTAATTGGATGGGAGAATCCAGAAATTTAAATTCGACTACTTCTGTGCACATGCTGACCAAGTACCTTTCTCTCCCTTGCTTTTATCTTTGCCTTTCTTCCATTGCAAAACCTCGGGGATGGCAGAATTGTAGGAGTCTCCAGAAGCACAAAATCAGGACCACCCTCAGACCCTCTATTTGGGTTTCAGTGTCAGCACAGCGTAGGGCTGGGCAGGATAGGGAACATTAGTTGGGCAACTGCAAACTAAAAAGGAGGGTTTGCTCAAGGAAGCATTAACGGCTGTTTCAAGGGAACAAAATCTAAGAGCAAACCAGGTCAGAAAGTAGAAGAGGTCCACAATACTTTATTATCAAGGCCACACTCAAAGTTCAAGACAAAGCTTGAATGAAGGGTCAAGGAGTGTGAGTAGCAGGAAGGCAAGTCAGATGAGATACGAGGGGCACTGTGAAAACTCCACAAAGGGCCTGGCCTTTCCACTCATTGTTACTGGCCCCTTTATTAGGCCATTCTTACATTGCTATAAAGAAATACCTGAGACTAGGTAATTTATAAAGAAAAGAGGTTTAACTGGCTCATGGTTCTGCAGGCTGTACAGGAAGCATAGCACTGGGCATCTACTTGACTTCTGATGAGGACTCAGGAAACTTACAAACATGGCAGAAGGCAAAGGGGCAGCTGGCACATCACATGGCAAAAGCATGAGAGTTCAGAGGAGGTGCCACACACTTTTAAACGACCAGATCTCACAGCACCTCACTATCATGAAGACAGCCTTAAGCCATGAGGAATCTACCTCCATGACCCAAACACTTCCTACCAGTCCCCAGCTTCAGCATTGGAAATCTCACAAATAAATGTGAGATTTCTGTGGGGACATGTATCCAAACTATATCAGCCCCACTGGAATAAGGAGTTCTCATTACTTCCTATCATCCTGAACTTGGATAGAGAAAAGGTTGGTTCAGAGGGAAGGCCAGAGTTGGTAGAAAGTAAACGAACAAAATTATTATCTAATTTTTCATCTCTTCCCTCCCTCAAGACTAATAATAACATTTATTACTCAGGAGCTGATCACATAAAATCCTCTCTCTTTGGCCACTCACTGGACATTTGTTCTCCATTGTCCCTCTTCCAGAGTAAAATGGGAAGAAAGAGGGTGAAATCTAAACCAGTTAGAATCTGACTTGTTAGGAAGGCTAGGAAACTATTAGCTATAATCATTTTTTTAAATCATATGGATTTAATTTCACCACTATAATTGATCTTATTAATTCAAGTGTTTGAGAACTGACAGTTGCATACGTTTTTCTGAACAAAGAACTACAGTAGTCAATACTGGCCTCTTCTTACATAAGCCTCAGTCTTGGACTGCAGACTTCCTACTAGATTTCTAGCCCTGAAATGTCATGCAAAACCAGTAAGTATGTGCATTTCTCTCATTTTTTCTAGGATGGATGCCTGCAGGTTACACTACATCCTTAGAACAGGTTTGTGACCCCAAAACTATAAAAAAATCTTGCTTTATAGCCTCATCTATACTCTCTGCCCTAAACAACTTCCTTCCAGGTAAAAAAAGATAACTTACATTGCTTTTCATACATGTGTCATACATCAAAATGGTCCTAGACCAGACAGAAAGTACCATTAAAAATAGTGCCAGGCCGGGGGTGGTGACTCACACCTGTAATCCCAGCATTCTGGGAGGCCAAGGTGGGTGGATCACGAGGTCAGGAGTTCAAGACCAACCTGGCCAAGATGGTGAAACCCTGTCTCTACTAAAAATACAAAAAATTAGCCAGGCATGGTGGTGGGTGCCTGTAATCCCAGCTACTCGGAGGCTGAGGCAGAGAATTGCTTGAACCCGGGAGGTGGAGGCTGCAATGAGTCAACATTGCACCGCTGCACTCCAGCCTGGGTGACAGAGCGAGACTCTGTCTCAAAAAATAAAAATAAAAAACAAAAACAAATGAACAAGAAAAGTGCCATCCCACATAAGCTTGATATCCAGTGGGTACTGAGAACAGCTAGCTGAAAGCTTTGGGCAGGTGAGTGGATTGCTGCAAAATGCAGACAGGAGTGGGTAGGGCATCTGTACCCATCTTACCAGGCCTTTCCAGGCAAGCTGAGGTTCAAGTCCTGGTTACCATGCTTTAATCATGTCTTCTAAAACTGTAGGACAGTGATAGAAAAAGGGATCTGAGCTTGAGTTTTGGGTAGACTTTTCCCACAGAGAAGGAGGTACATAATTATTCTCTCATAAACACTGAGTCATCTTTGCTGAGAGACTCAAAATGGAGGAATTTTTCCCTCTATTCTGGATGGCTTGAATATGGTCCTTCCAGAGGCAGAGGGATTGACAGAGGACTTCTCCAAAGATCTCTGAATTTCCAGCATTCTATGTAGTTTATAGCCCTATTTTATAGTCCTCCAACCTACCTTAAAAATGGCCAGAAATGACATCTTGTTGCAAGAATGCATCTTCCCCTCCAAAACCAATCTCCAGGCAGGTGCCGAGGCCTTGAGGAGCTAAGCCATCTCTCCATTCTGTCAAATCCACTTTGGTGGGACAATTTTTCTTACACTTCAACTGTTCTCCAATGCCTGACGCTTTGTCTAGATTATTGTTTTCAGCCAGTCTGGTGTTTGGCCGACTCCCAGGGTTCTGATAACTACATTTGAAAGGATAGATCTGAAAATGGAGAGGGCCATACAAATTGTACTTAGAAAGGTATACATTTGAAAATTTAATGGGACATATCCATCACTCCCAGACACCAAAATGATGATTTCATAGATCACGTAATTGTTCTGAACACCTTTTCTTGACAACCTTCATCTTTGAACCGTAGCTATTTCATTTATCGCAGCTATTTGGATCATTTAAAATTTAGCCCACTTTTCTCCAGGTGATTTCTTTAGTGTTTATAAGTCCATCTTGACATCTTCTTTTATTTCTTCCACCAAAAAAATCCTCACCCTTATGGTCTTAGTGGAGACATCATTTACAGCTAGAGAAGCATATCTGAAAATGTATTACCTTTAAATAGTAGGATTCATCATATCTGAGTTCATATGTCTGATAGCCAAAAAGCACCATTTCATTTCAGAAGAAAAATTGCTTCTGTCAGTGTAAACAGAATGCATTACCCCTTTTTAATAACCATTCTTAAGTATGCTGCTGTATTACTTTTTCACAGCTGTATTCCAATAAGCCGCAGAGTAATTGCCAGTTCTCCTATCTAATAGGTTCATTATTCTTTTGCCATAATTGCAGCCATTAAATGTTCAATTGTTAAATTTCCACTCCTACGTTTACTTAGTGTTACATTTTATAATGGGGCATGTCATTACAGCACCCCAGTGGCCATGGCTGTTGTTCAAAGTATTTCTAAAAGTCAATGAGATCCCTGTGAAATTTGTCTTCATTTTTCATTTGTTTATCCACCTGCCCTCCCCAAAGTCCCTTCTTCCTATTTTTAGACTTTCTAGAAGTAGGCTCTTAGAAATTGTTACCTTTTACTAGAAGTTTAAGAACCTGACCTAGACTGGAAGACATAAAGCTGAGCCCTCAATGTCTCTGAGCAGTGCTTTCTCACTTTAATGTCATGATTCATATATAATAAGGTGATAGAGTGACAATTTCACTAAGGAAATTAACACTTAAGACTTAATGGTTTTTTCAAGAGCTCTGATTTATCTTTTATCTGTTAAATTTGTGGGGCTTTTTCCTCAAATGAAAGATCCATCGGTCAGGGGTTATGGAATCGCTAACCTTTGGTCTGCAATGCTTATGATAATAAAGTGAATGCCTTCCTTTTATTGCTTGACATTTCTGGATATGCCATTTCCTCGGGTCTGCGCTCACCTATTCTGACTGATGGAGTGGATTGTGTTATTTTGGGAGGATATATTAATAAAGATGAAGAGGGAAATAAGAGATTTTAACTCACTCTACATAGTTGAGTATCTCTTGATTCGCTTGAGTTATTTTTTGTCTATTCGCTTGCTTTGGGGTTTCAATATAAAGCTAGAAGTTCTTTTTTAAGACAGCGAGTATTTCTTAAGTACTCAAATATTAGCCAAAAATTTTGATTTAGGTCATATTTCATTTTAAACAGTTTTCTAATCATCTATTCATCAGTTAATCATCACTTTCAAGGTTATTTTATTTCACTTCCATTCATTGCCTTAACTTTTATTTCCTTCTGCAACTGAAAATAACTTTTATATTCAATGGGTTAGTATTATAATTTTGTCCAACTCATTTCAGCTCTATTTGGGAATCTATTTCAGTTCTTTTTGGAACCTTCTATACTTTAGAGTAGCATTTTTTTTGTAAGCACAGTAGAAGTTTTTTATTTCATAACATGGTTCATGGTATCAGATGTGGCATAGATCAACTTGCATGCCTTATACTATAAACACTCGACACGGAGCCACGTCCCCTGTTCATTTTCCCTGATGTTAGTGACAATAATAGCTAACATTAGTTGAGTGTTTGCTCTCATCCTGTCTCTGTACCATGTGATTATATGTATTTTCTCATTTAATCTCTATGAGGTAGGTACACTTATTATTCCCACTTTACGGATGAGGAAACTGAGACTCACAAAGGTTAAGTAACTTGCACAAAGTCATAGCTAATAACTGTTGAGTCCAGAGCCCACACCCTTAATTTCTATTTGACACTGTTATGAAGGGGGTACTTCTATAAACTGTTAAAGAAGCTAAAATATTTATAAGGCAGCAAATATTAAATAACCTAAGAACTCTGCCACTTGCCTGGGCAGACAGAGAGAAAAACAACTTGCCAAAGTTCACAGGGAAAAACTGACACTCAGCAGAGAATTCTTCCACTGTCATTCCCCCTTCACAATATTAGCCTGCCCACAAACTAGACCAACAGAAATCATTATAAAATTGACCTTAGACTTGTTTACAGTTTATTAGTGACATTCCTATAAAGAAAAAACTTGACTTTAAAATATTTAACATGTATATTTTAAATATTCATACACACACACGCATGCACACACACACACACATACACACACATCATCCCAAAAACTCCATCAAAGTTTCCCACCCCCAAAATTCTACCATCCCCAAAACTATCCAAGTGTCAGAGTATTTTTGTCTTTCACATTTTGGCAAAATAAATTTTGTGTTAAGACCTTAGATATAATTTGCTGATAGTGAAAACTGAATGACACTTCCTTTTCTCTTCCTTGGCTATATTGGCTTTGCAACATTACTAGGAGTGAATATTTGTTGTCACTAAAGCAGTCAGCTGTGTCACTTGGGACAGGAAGATATATGGAATAGGATAGTGTTATTTTGACAACTACTTTCTTTCAAAGCAATGCAGTAAGTGTATCTTGTTTTGCTCATTTACTTACAACACAATGGCCAACATGGAAAAAGAAAGAGCACAGCATAGGTAGGGTCGATAAGAAAGCCATATTGTATGATTAACTAAAAGAGGCACATTACCTGATGAAGTCAAAGGAATCACCCAGGGAGAATGTGACTACAATGGCTGCAGAAATAACTGCAAAAAGAATGAAAAGATAGGCATCCACATGCCTGAAAACAGATTTCCTACCTGTCCAATTAGGCAGGTGGTCTTTTGGTGGTAACATATTTTAGAAAATGGTCAGTGACCACAAAGACAATTAGTAAAAGATTTGTAAATCAAAAAGTGATTATCATTAGAGTTTATTTAGTGCAAGATAAAATTAGCCAATCAAGTCTTGGAAATTTTCTGAAAGAATTGAATATAAAGGAGTTCAAGAGAAAGGCATCTTTTCTGTTCAAATTCTCTTTAGATTTGAGGCATCAGAGATAACCGACACAATTGAAGAAAATATACACAAGATCCATTGTTCTAATGTGCTTAGTACATCCAAAAGCTTTTATTAGACCTTTAAGAGTTAGCTCTAATAACAAGTATTGTGATAATTTTTTTAAACTACTATTCTAAATTGCAGGGCGTGGACAAAATACTTATTTCAGATACATATCTATGAAGATTGCAAGTGGTAGAACAGAAAAAGAAATGGAATGTTGATTTTCCCCTATTCTATGGAAACATTGAATGACTTCAACCCTCATGTATCCTTGTTTCCTAAAAGAAGAAAATAAATACACACATATTAAATACAGAGGACTCAAAAAGGTTGAGAAAAGTCTAAACTGAATCTTTCTATTAGGTGGAAAATTTAACATGGATATGATTCCATTCTCCAAGTCCAATTCTGGAGAGATCCAAAGCCATGAGTTATGGTCCCCAGATGTGCCAAAAGCGAAGTAAGAAACCTCTGAAAAGACAGAGATAGGTGGTTCCGAGTGTGTGTGGTGGAGTGAGATGGAAGTGCTTTTCACCCAGGGTGAAAGAGGAGCCAGGAGGTGAGACAAAGTTTTCTCATAATGCGCTTAACTTCACCTTATATTGCCCCAAGTAAGGGAGAAAATCAGCAGCTCCAACCCAACGAACCGGATGTTCTGTCTATTGCTGGTAAAGAATTGCAATCTTTTTCTATATTGATCTTATATCCTGCAAACTTGCTGGACTGCCACATATTTAAGCAGCTCTACTGTGTACCTTTTAATACATTTTAACATCTCTGAAATTAAAATGAATCTTCTAATCTAATTTATAATCATCATTTTCTAGGTAGCAATCATCATTGCTAGCGCATGAGTGAACTTGGTCATAGCTATCATTTCAATTGAATGGTGAATATAGTTAGTACTGCATGTGCTGAGTGTAACTGTCAATTAAAATGTCTTTACAATAATTACAATATTATTAAGTTTTGGAAAGAAAAGTTATTTAGCACATCAAAAGGCACAGAAACAGAGTAACAAAGCATAAATTAGATACCAACGGAGTAAATATTAATTATGGGAGGAATAATCGAAAAACATTATTTCCTTACAAAATAATAACTAAATGCTATATAGAAAGAAAATGTCCTCAAGTAGATGAAAGCTGTGTGATATGTTATTACTGCAATAAGTGGAAAATAATTATCCATTCTATGTCAAGTAATAAAACCAAGGGCCAGAGAACTTCTCTGATCACTGCAAAGACTGGGGAAAATGACAAATCTCTCTGTATAGTGAAAGACACTAATTCACATAGTAGGCAGGACTATTGTCAAGGCAGTTTCAGAATTTAATTGACACTGCTCTTTTTCTTAGTGGTAGAAAATAACGATGAGTCATAACAACTGATAAAAATTATAGACTCAGTGAAAATCTATGAATTCTAATAATGCTGATTATCATAGTTGAAAATGACAGCTGTGTTTCTTTATAATCCTTTTATTTTCTTTTCCTGCCTTACTGTGCTATCTGGGATCTCCAACAAATACTGAAAGAAGAGAAAATAGAAACCTATTCCCTTTTGCAAATTTTAAAAGCAAAGCTTTTAATATTTCACTTTAAACAGGAGGTTTGGTTTTTTAAAAATTGTTTAAATACCTTGAGGGGTTAAGAGACCTCCCTGGTTTGCTCAGAGTAATATCATAAAGAGATGTTAAATTTTGTCAAATAATTTTAATGCATCTTTGGATATAATTATGTGAGTTTTTTTCTTTAATCCATTGATGTGAGTCATTACGTTAATTAATTTTTATAATGTTAAATCAATCTTCAATTGTTCAGTTAAACCCAAAGTGACCATGATGTATTTCCTTATATTTTGCTGCATTCGTTATGTTACTATTTTGCTTAGAGTTTTTGCATCTGTTTTTATAAGCATCCTGTCTTTTTCTTTTCTTGATTAATTCTCTTCAATCCTTAGTATCAACAGTAAGCTAGTCTCTTAAGGTAAATTTGAGAGCAGTCATTTTTCTTCATATATCTTGAATATTTTGTGATTGAAAGTAACATTTCCTTGAATACTGGATGAGGATTGCCTAAAATCATCTCGTCGTTGAATTTGCATTGTGGAAGTAATTTTGGCTGCTAATACAACTTTTTAAATGTGTTTATACTTCAGGTTTCCTATTTATTCCTAAGTCATATTTGGTGAGTTATATTTTTCTAGAACATTACCT